AATGGTTACAGTGAGAGGGAACTATAGGGAGGAAGTGGGAGGGGAGCTGTTGCATTGTGGTAATTGTAGTCACTGTCATGAGACAAAGGATATGTGAACTGATGTATGGGAAGTGAATTTGCTCTGTAAACTTTCACCCAAATCACAATTAAAAAATAAAGTAAAAATTATAAATTGGGATATGCAAAAAAAGGAAAAAAAGGTTACAATGGCAAAGTTTACGTTACACGTATTTTATAATAATAAAGAACAAAATATAAATTTAAAAAAATCTAAACCACAATGAGACAGCACTTCATACTCACTAGGTTGGTGATGATGAGAAGATGTACAATAACAAGAATAGTGTTGGCGAGGATGTGGAGGAACTGGAACCCTCGTGCCTGCTGGTGGGAATGTGAAAAGCAGTCTGGCAGTTCCTCAAATAGTTAAACACAGAACTACCACATGATCCTGCAATTCCACTCCTAGGTACATACCCCAGCGAAATGAAAACATGCACTTAAACAAGTACTCCTATGTGATGCTCACAGTAGCCAAAAAGTGGAAGCAAACCCAAACGTCCATTAATGTGAACAGAACAGACTAATGTAATGAACAGATACACAAAACGTGGTAAATCCATACAACGGAAAATCACCCAGCCAAAAAGAGGAATTACAGACTGATACACGCTACAACGTGACTGAACCTTGAAAACATTATGCCGGGTGAAGTCAGTCAGTCACAAAGGAACAAATGTTACATGATCCCACTCATATGACATACCTAGAAGAGCCAAATGCACAGAGACAGAAAGCAGATTAGTAGTTTCCTAGGGCCAGGGCGAGGGGGAATAGGGAGTCAGTGCTTGATGGGTATGGGGTTTCCTTTGGGGGAGATGGAAAGGTTCTGGAACCACACCATGGTGGTGGGTACAGTCACATTAAATGGAGAATTTTGTGTTATATGAATTTCACCTCAATAAATTTATTTGAAAAAATAGTAGTAGCCTCAAGGACTCATTGAGGAAAGTCTCCTCCTCCAGCAAACAGTGTCTCTATTTCCCAGGGTCCCATCCAACTAAGTCATCAGCTGAGGGACATGAAAAGGGAAACAAAAAAGAAATTGTCTTGGACATGGAGTCATATGGCAGAGGTCTCTGGCAGGAAAAACAAAAACCTGTGATTCCATGGCCTCAAGTGGTAACCTACTAACCTTTCACCAAGGGAAGGAAAAGCCGTCCTGATACTTCCTATAACGTCTTAAAGCAAATTGCAACAACTCCCCCTCCAACACCCACATTCCTTCCGGCAGAGGAGGAAAAACGAGTTCGTTTTCCTTCAGCTAGCTGCGATATTGCTCTTTTCTTCAAAGGGTCAAAGGTAAGTCCATCACATGCCAGCCTGTAATTTGGCCCAAGGGAGAGGCCTTTCAAAGGCCTGCTCTGAGGGGTTGGCTGCTGGGTGCTCCAGGCCCAAAGATGAGGTAGAAAGGGTTTACTGTCTGGTCTCCAGTACCCAACAAGGCACCTGAACTTAACAGATGCTCAATAAATGTTTGATGACTGAATGGATGAATGAATGAATGAATGAATGAAATGAAGGAGGGCCATTCCATCTTTTATGATCACAGGAGAAACAGCCTCCCTTTATGCAAACCAATATCAGAAAGTCCACATTTACAACCCAGAAGAATTACCGGCATCTTCGCTTTACAAAAGGATTCACTCCAGGATACTGGGAACAGTGACAGCCTTTTCTGGATTTAAAACAGGATTTGATTCCTCTACAACTTTTCCAGAACAGGGGCCTTGCAGGAAGCCAGAGTAGCTCAATGAGGCACAGTCCTGAGTCCTGCTCACCTTTTCTGCCTGCAGAACTTGGAGCCCTTTGCACACCCACAGAGACTCACCTTCATTTTCTTCCCAGTGGGATCTCCACTGGGGGGAAGGAGGACAACTGATCTACTGAGGGCCTAGTGAGGCAAACGCTTGGGGATGAAAAGCACAAAGTTTTTAAAGTTACCTCAGCCAGACAGACAAGGTAGAAAAACAAAAAACAAAACCCAAAAGCCCACGCAAGTGTGTCCAGGTGTAGGGTTGGGGAGGTGGGGTGGTAGAGGGAAATGGGTCCCCAGTCTCCAAGCTCAGCATGCTCCTTGCAGCCACGGTACCACTGGTTCTTTGAGAACTGTGTGTGTGTGCGCACACATGTGCATATGTGTGTGTGCACGTGGGTTGGGGGCAGGACAGGGGTAAGGAAGAGGGAAATAATAGATTCAAGGCATCAAGAAAGTCCCTGAGTACTGTCCTTTCATCCCCTAAAACATCCTTTGGGCCCCAATGCCCCCCTCCCTAGAGCTTGCTGACTCTCGCCAGCGCCAGCGCCTGCTTCTCTGGAGCTCGGGGCCAAGGTCCAGCTTGCAGCGCTCTTCCCTAACAGCCAGACAGAGCTCTGCCTTCAATAAAAACCAAACCAAACAAAAAAGACACAGTTGCCAACTCTGACTCCTGGCAACCCCATGTGTGTCAGAGTAGAACTGTGCCCCACAGGGTTTTCAACGGGGCTCCTTCTTCAGAAGGAGATCACCGGGCTTTCAAGGTATTTCTGGGTAGACGCAAACCTCCAACCTTTCAGTGAGCAGCTGCGCATTTTAACCATCTGGACCACCCAGGGACCTCTTTGCCTTTCATACCCACTTGATATCTTCATGGAAAAGAGGAGGCTCGCCCTCTTTCAGGGACCAATTTTGGAACTACAAGTCTATGCCCATAAAGCAGAGAGACAATGTCCAAGATCTGAATGAAGGTGCTTGAATGAAGGTGAGGAAGCACCAGAATGAAGGTCTTGTGTTTATTCGAGTCCCTGGGGGTGCGAATGGTTAAGCACCTGACTGCTAACCCAAAGGTCTGAGTCCACCCAGAGGTGCCACAAGAGAAAGGGGCCAGGACAGCTACTTCTAAAACATCAGTCATTGGAAACCCCGAGGAGCACAGTTCTAGTTGGACGCACATGGGGCGACCAGGAGTCAGAGGGGACTCAACAGCCACTGGCTGTTTGGTATTCTCTTCACTCTGCAGCACAGACTGGTACTTGAGTTAGCTTAAGGAGGCATCTAAAGGCCACCTAGCAGTTGGAATGAGTTAACAGAAATAAGAATAGAGGAAAAAAAGTGCTGTGTAATTTTTTAACTACTTAAAATGGTTGCAACCTTCAAACTCCTTTGGGATTTTAGAGAAGGGGATAGGTATTTAAAACAAAGTTCATCCACCTACTAAGATGCTCAGAAATAGCTGCACTGGGATCCAGAGCGCCCCACGACTGCAGGACAGCAATCACTAGCCCAAAGAAGCACCTGAGTTAGACTGTTTGTTCAAAGACAGAGCTTCACATGGTGCCTTGGTCATAATGAGATGCTCTTGGGGTTCATTTCTGCCAGAATTTACTGGGAACCAAGTCGGCTGTAGACAACAACACATGTGTGGCTGTAAGAGAGACTGTAGATGTGTGTCTGGTATGTGTGGGGACGCACAAAGAGCGGTGGGCCCGCAGCCTTGCACACTCCACCCCTCAATGATAGGGACACTAAAGGGAACAAGAGTCACCAGTGGCCCAGAACAAATGACTGCAGGGACATGCCACCAGTGCTCTGTCCTGCAAGGACAGGGGCCTGGGAACCTAGAGGTGGGGGGAAGGATGAGGTGAGAGAGAGGCTGAACCAGACTGTGAGGGTCCGAATGCTGTGTCTACAGACCTCTAAGACTTAGTCGGCAAAAGTTGGAACTGGATGGAGGCTGGTGGAGCAGGAGACAAGCCCACTCCCTCGTCCACCTCCATCGCTCCTTCGCAGTTTTTATGAACGTACAGGTGGCACTCTGCAACCTAGTCTTCCTTCCATCGGGACCTCTAGTTCTGGTGTTCTTTCCTTCTTCTTCCTCTCTCATCAGCTACTTAGTCATTAACCTTTGTTCAATAAACAAATCAGCCCCTGGTTGGGAGCCCAGAACGCTATCTCTGAGGAGTGTGGGTTTGGGACTAACTGGGGCCAAAGCCCAAGTGGGAGGAGGGAGCAGTCTTGGCCAAATCCTTGGTTCTGATAACTCCCTATTCTAGAGGCTTCTGTCATTGACCCTGAAGCTCCCAAGGGAAGACTAGAGAGTCCACTCTCAGCTGTTCTGTTGCTCAGAAGTAACTCCTAGAGTAACACAAGCTGTGATGTCACAAAGGAAATTTTTTTTCGTTTCATTTTTTAAAAAATTAGGAGTTGAGAAGACTCCTACTGAGCATGTCCAAGCTAGACTCCCCCCCACACACAACTCAGTAGAGCTATCTAGCTGCAGACAAACAGCTGCTATCCACTAATGAGAAAATAAATGCATGTTGGCTTGTGGCTCTTGCCATAGGCCTGGGCACCAGAAACTTTTCCAAAGGTAGGTGAGGGAGAAGAAAAATGAGGGAGGGAAGGAGGATGCCGGGATGCAAAGGAAAGTCAGTTACCACAGCAAGGGTTGTGAGGAACAGAGTTTCGGGAGAGATCTCGAGGGCTTCCTTTTGATCACAAACAAGGAGAAAGTGTAAAACCAAAAGCAAAACGCTAAGGGTCACGTCTTTGCAGCTGACATCTTACTCAAAAGCACAGGTTAATACATTTTCCCCAAACTCAACCAGTTATGGGGCTAAGCCCACTAAGGCCTCTCCCAGATACTGAGCTGTGAAATGGGTCCCCGTGGGCCACTATGGCCCTGAAGAGGACGTATGCCATGCGGACACTCACAGCAAAGGGATAAGAGGAAGTGGACCTCGGGGCTTTTTAAAGTGCACAGAAACTTCCAGAAAGCTGGAAGAAAAGCATGTGAAGAGGGCTGGTGCCGCTCATGGGAACTGTCTGAGACCAGAGGGAGATGAAGAGTATCTCCTTCCCACAAGTGCAGCCCCAAGGATGGCGGCTTCAAGTCCAAGCCATGCTTACCACTGAGGAAGCGCTTCATGGTGTCGCTGCTGGCCAGCTTCATGGCCGTCTGCCCTGAGTAGGTGGCCAGCGTGGGATCAGCCCCATAGGACAGCAAGAGCCAGATGGTCTCCAGGTTGTCATTGACCACTGCATCATGAACGGGCCTGCAGAGGTAATGTGGGATGAGGACGGCGGAGCCCGAGTGGGAACCAGGTGTCTAGGCTCCAGGCTACCTCATCAGGAAAAAGGGAGATGACTCCAGGGTGAGGTAAGTAAGAATGAGGGCAGAGAACCACCTCTGGCATGTACCCCCCTACTGCCTTCTCCCCACCTCCTTCTCTTCTCTCTATACCTCAATCTCTTCCCTCCTACTCCTCTGTCTCTTGCCCACATTCTGGGACAGTCTCTCGGGCATACTGTAGCTCCACTGGTGGTTCTGAAGAAAATGAGTCTGAGAACAGAGCTAAAGCAGATGCCGGAGTGGGGCTTGAACTTAAGGAACCAGGCAACCCCCAGGAGCAGAGATGAGCAAAGCAGCAGAGCTCGCATCCCTGGGCCCAGGCGCCCCTACTGGGAATGCAGCTCGTGTCTGTATTTTGCCCGGGAAGCAGGCTGACCAAGCACAGGAGAATGGCATAACCGCTTTAAGACACAGCAGGATGAAAAAAATCCAATCCGAAATGTGACTCTAAGGTCAGCCTCCCAGTTAGCTCCTAAAGCCCAAGCTTCTGGCCGAGAGGGGCACTCTCAGGGTGATTTGCGGGGGGCCTGCTTGATCTTCCGTGATGGCAGCTACCCACGAAAGGATGGGTCCTATACAGTGCTAGCTCCACCCACTAACCAGTATGGACTAGCCATCCCAGACTAGCCATCCTAGAACTCAGCTACCCTGACCCTAGGCTCCTTCTCCCTCCAGTTGATAGAAGTTTGTTCGAAACATCTCCCACTGCAACCTGCAGCCTGGCCTTCTGCAAAGGTCCAGCTGGGGCCAGTTCTTCTGAGTGAGGGGCTGAGACAGGGTGTGGGAGGGGGCCTCAGGGTGGCGTCGCTTTCTTGCCTCGTGCCATCCTGTGCACTGCAGTTCACATTGGCACCATGCTCCAGCAGGATGTTCAGGATATCGGTCCAGCCCCGGGAGCAGGCCTCATGCAAGGCTGTGTAGCCAGCATTGTCGCGATGATTCACATCCTCACTGTCCTTCTGGAGGCAGTAGAGAACAACGTCCTGTGGGGACAGGGACTCTATGACCAGAGAGCTCTAATTCCTAAAATCACCTCAGTTCAAGTCAAACTTCCACAAATGTCCAAAGTCTCAGAGCCTGGCCTGTACAGTGGGGACTAACAAGCAAACCTCAAAATCTCATCAGCAAAATCAGTCCTGAGCCACTGTCGCCAGGGTCCCAGCTCTCAACTGTTTCCTTGGCAGTGAGGACACATTTCTTAGGGCTGAGAACACTCAGCTGGGTGTTGGCTGTGAGGGGGAGGTCCTCAGAGAGGTTCACCTGCCTGACCTAAGACTTAGTCTCCCTGAACACTTGTTCTACAGTCTGGGGCTTTGAGACTAGAAATGGGACATGTGGTGACGTGGACACAGAGCACAGTTGCTACCGGGACTTTGAGAACAAGGAAGAAAGAATTGCTTCAAGTACTGTCCCTGGACAGCAAGGAGCTCTGGTGGCGTAGCGCCTAAGGCATTTGACTGCTAACCAGGAGGCTGGCAGTTCAAACCCACCAACCACTCCATGGAAGGAAGACTGGGCAATCTACTTCTGTAAAGATTTACCATCTCAGAAACCCAAAGCGGGTCGCTAGGAGTCAGAATGGACTTGATGGCAGTGAGTTTGGATTTTTGGCTTTACTGTCCCTGAATGGTAGTCTCAACAGGACCAATTTTCATCTCAGGCCAGTAAGCCCCAGCCCTTCCCTCAAATCAGTCGGTCATGACCAATCGGTCATTCATTGAATGACCAATCGGTCATTCATTCACGTATGAATGATTAACTTCCCTGGGCTGAGACAATGAGACCAGAGGCAGGACTCCAGAGATTAGAGGCACCCTAGCTAGTCTGGGATGGAGCTGGTGGACGAGCTGAGGGCCTGGCTTTCAAACCAGTGTCTCTCACAAGTACATTAGCATCGCTCTTCAGTCAGGCCCTGGTGAGATGGAACACCTCGCTGTGCTGACAAGACGGCTCACAGGCTGGCTACAGTGGCTGTGTGTGTGCCTGTGTTGGGGGTGCTGCTTTTCCCTGGGAGAACACCCCATCTCCTACCCTGCCCACCAGTACAGCTGGTGGCCTCTGCCCCCCATGATATCCAGGACTGTTTGGTTCTCTGCTGGTGGCATGTTTGCTAGTTTTGCCCCAGGTACTGGAGGGAATCACTTGGCAGGCAGGGGCTGGCATCACTTCTTCAGGCCTCCTTTCGTGGTTACCACCACACTAAAAAAACCAAACCAAACTCATTGCTATCAAGTTGATTCCGACTCACAGCAACCCCCTTTGGGTTTCCAAGGCAGTATATCTTTACGTAAGTAGCCTGCCCAGTCTTCCTTCTGAGGAGTGGCTGGTGGGTTTGAACCACCAACCTTCTGGTTAGCAGTCAGATGCCTTAGGGACTACGCCTAAGAGCTCCTTTAACACCACAGTAGGTACTCAGCAAAGATGGGTGGATGGACCCAGAGCCCCTGTCAAGTCAGCTCACATGTGCTGGCTCGCCTGGCTGCGAGTGAGGCTTTCTTTAAACGAGTCAGTTATAGCTCTCAAAAGCCTTGTCCCCCCCTCCCCCCAAAAAAGGAGGGTATACCCTGGAACCCTGCAACTCCACTGCCAAGAACAAATCCTGAAGACATATCAGTGGGGTGGGCAAAGAGTTGGCCATAACCTAATGGTTGTTGAAGCCAGTGACTGATCAGACTGTGGAGGTTTGTAGGACTCTCCTGTCTACTTTTGAATATGCTTGGACTTTTCATAATAATAACAATAAAAAATCATTAAAAATAATTCAAGTTCATATAAATAAAAAGTGGGCAACAATCAAAATGTCTAATCACATAATTTGTTTCTGGTAAGTGAGTCAATGTTCTACCATGACGCTGACACTTGGTTTGAATTGAGGTATGTGTGTATCTGTATGTGCATACACATGCATGTTGTTGTTGTGATGTGCCATCAAGTGGATCCGACTCACAGGGACCCCCTCCTTGGGTCTCCGAGGCAGTATCACTGCGGAAGTAGATTGCCCCATCTTCCTTCCGAGGAGTGGCTGGTAGGTTTGAACTGCCAGCCTTCTGGTTAGCAGTCAAGAGCCTTAGGCACCACGCCACCAGAGCTCCCACACACACCCATATGTGCATATATTTTGTGTATGTGCATATGCCGTTATTGTTGAGTCCTTTCTGATTCATAGCAGCTCCGTGTGACAGAGTATAACTGCCTCACAGGGTTTTCTCGCTGTAGTCTTTACAGGAGGAGCCCTGGGGCAGAGTGGTTAAGTGCTTGGCTGCTGACTGGAAAGGCTGGTGGTTACTGGAGCAGATGGGCAGGTCTTTCTCCCACAGAGCTGCTGGGTGGGCTGAAACCTACAAACATTCAGTTAACAGCTGAGTGCTTCACCACTGAGCCACTAGGGCTCCTTCTGTATATACTTTATACACACACACACACGTTATGTGTATACTAAGTATATATGTATATACTGATATTTACGTGTGTATATACACACACACACATGCGTACATATGTATACACTAACGTGTGTGTATTTCTGTATTTCAGCTGGGTGATCTTGGACAAATCACTTCACATTGCTAAGCCTTGATTTTCTCACCTGTGAAATGGAGATAATAAAATCTACCTCCAACTGCACAGGCTTAACGTGCAGATCAAATGATATTAAATAGCCCAAGCTCTTACTGTGACAAAAGAGGTCTCAATAAACCTCAGCTTCATTTCCTGCCGTCTTTCCAATCCTCAGGGAAGGAGTACAAAATAGGGTTTACTCAGCCTGGCCCCTCAAAATCATTTCTGACCCCTCTATTACAGAAAGTCTAAATAGGGGGAGCAATCATTACCCCTCATTCCTTTCTGAGCTGCTGCTCAGAAAATTCAAGACAACATGAAAATCCCCAAATCCCATTTCTGGCCTAGGAATGCACTGGATGTTATCGGATCACCATGTCGATCGCATACATCTCACACTGACTTCCAAATGAGCTTGCGTCCCCACATGCCAATCAGACAAGGGGACAGGCAGCCCCAGAGGCCATCTGGGCAGTGAGGGAGGCCAGCCTGGGCACAAGCCCTAAACAAAACCCTACCTAGGCCACCAAAGAACCCCCAGAGAAGTTTCCCCATAAATGCTCAGGCCAACAGCACCCTGGGGTCAGGGAGCTCCCTCACCTTATAGCCAAGACGTGCAGCCCGCTGCAAAAGAGTCTCTCCAGCATTTTTGTTCACGATGAGCCGACGCGCCTCTGGGGGGATCTGCCGGGCTGTGGGTGACTCCACCTCCTCTAGGCCAGCACTTCGGGACTTTGAGGGTGTACACGGTTCCGTGGGCTTCACTGGGGTGGGAGATTTGGGAGATCGTGTCTTCTGCTGGCTCCAACGACTTTTGCCCTGGGAAGTAGAGATGCAGTGCAGGTCAGGTCAGGCAACAGGTCACTCCCCCCCAGAGGCCAAGGACATCTCAGCTCATCTTTGTCCATCTTCTGCTTCATGTGCAGCACCCCCAAATGCTCTAGACCACTGTCAGGCTGGAGGCAAGTGACTGGGTTGGTCACTACTTGTTTGGGATACTTCTAGGATCTGCACAGGTTTCCATTTATCTCTGCCCAGTGAGATGCTCAAAGGCTCAAATCCTCGACCCCATAAATCAAGGAATGGGGAAGGGATTGGAAGTAAGAGACTGAGCAGCCATCCCAGCTTCCCCCAAGCACTCTGCATGCCTTCTCTACCTGCACTGATAGTATTTGTGAAGGTTTTTACCAGTCATGTCTATAAAGGAGCTGAAGTAAACCCTGAGTAAAGAGAAGCAGAGGGAGACAGCTACCTTTGACTGAACAGGCCCAGACCACAGCTCCTAAAAGCTGTCACTCTTGCAACACACTCCCCAGCCAGCCCTCACCAATCTTTTCTCATCTTTCACCACACTATGTTCACAGATCGTTCCCACCTACAAAGAGTTCCGGTGCGGGAATCAGGCCTGAGTTGGAACCTTGCCCCTGCCATCCACTAACTACAGCAGCTGGGGCACACACAGCACAACCCGAGTCTCACTTTCTTCCTGGCAGGGTCTTTCGAGATCATCAACTGGGAAGGCTCTGGAACAATGCACAGGGTAGGTGCTCAAAAATGGTTGAGTCCTTCCCTCATGAGTGGCCTCTGTGTGCTCACCTTCCCCCTTTCTTTGTTTCCCCTCCTTTGAACCGGAATGTCTACAGTGGGCTCCTATGCCTGTGCCACCCTTGTATGTTGGGTGGATGAGGCAGGTAACTTGTCTTTTTAGTTCGGAGATCTTTAGATCATGAAGGACTGCACTCGAGCTGTACTCAAGAAACCAGACTCACTGAGTCTCATCTGCACTTGAACTTCATTTGGATGATGAGACTCTAGACTTGAAGCTGATGAGACTTTGGGGGGCCTTGGGAGGTATGGGTATATGCTGCATGTGGGAGGGATGTCAATCACTGGGGATCAGAGTCTTGAGTTGACTGTGGTAACCAGCCCCCAAGATGGCCCCTCACGAGCCCACGTCCTGGTTTTCATTCTCTTCTGCCATCCCCACCAACACTGGATAGAGCTGATCTGTGTAACCAATAGAAGATTGCAGAAATGATGGTGTGTGACTTCCAAGGCTAGGTCCCAAAAGACATCGTGGCTTCTGCCTTGCTCTCTTTAGGATCACTCGCTCTGGGGGAAGCAAGCTGCCACATGGTAAGAATACTCGAGCAGCCCTTTGGAGTGGTCCAAGAAGCCAGGAAAGGAGGCCTCCTGCCAACAGCCAACATCAACTTGCCAGCCATGTGAGTGTACTACCTTGAAAGCAGAATCCCCCAGCCCCAGTCAAGCCTCGAGATGACTGCAGTCCTGACTGATATCTTGACCGCAATTTCATGAGACAGCCCAAGCCAGACCCACCCAGCTAAGCTGCTTCTGAATTCCTGATCTACAGCCACTCTCTGAGATAATACATGTTTTCCACTGTTTTATGCCGCTAGGTTTCAGGGTAATTTGTTACCCAGCAATAGATAACAAATGCATCCCACTTACCCAAGGCCCTCAGAGCATCAGTGTCTCACTGATGCCCTAAGTCTTCTACAACATTCTACGACCCTTTGGTTATCCTCTTTCCCTGCAGACCCAGAGCACCGAGTCTGAACCACATCATCTGTCGCTTGATGCCTCACTTATTAATTTTCTTTCATTGTTTCACAGCTAAGTCTTGCCTCCTTGCTTGGTTTCCAGCTCCTTAGGGGCAAGGATCCTACTGTCAGCTTCACTTTTATTCCTTATATCACTTAGCTCAGGGCTGGGAACAGTATTGCAACAAATACTTGTTGACTTGATTCAGGTCAGCCATGTGCAGAGCCCTGATTAACCAGAAAAGTTACCTAGAAAGACACGAAGCCAGGAAAGGAGCAGCAGAGAAAAGATGAAGATGCAGGGCACTTGTCTCCTCTGGTAAATCCCAGGACAGTAAGAACTACTACCTTTCCCCATCCCGAAAGGGCAAAGACTACAATCCCTGGAAGGAAGGTACCAGCTGTGAGGAGGCAATGCTGCTTGATCTCTAGGATACAAAAACCAAGCCAAACCCACTGTCATCGAGTCGATTCTGCCTCATAGCAACCTCATGTGTTAACGGACTAGAACTGAGCTCTGCAGGGTTTTCAATGGCTGTAATCTTTACAGAAGCAGACTGTTAGGCTGTTCTTCCACAGTGCTGCTGGGTGGGTTTGAACTCCCAACCTTTAGGTTAGTAGTCAAGTGCAAACCACTTGCTCCACCCAGATCTTTCCAGGAGTATAGAGGTATATAATGGCAGTGCTGGAGGATGCTGGGTAAACCACCCAAGTTTCAGCTAAGGCAAGCCAGCAGCCAAAGAGTGACTCTCCTTCTGGGATCCAGAGCTACCAGAGAGCAGCAAGGGAGGCTGCCTGAGAGGGGGAAGAGCAACAGCAAGTGAGCGCCCCCTCTCCTTCAGGCCCCCCTGGCTCTAGACCCCTATGGGAAGAAGCCTTTGGCCAATGCCCCTGCTTTGGCATTGGAGGAGCATCCCCTGCTCTCCCTCCACCCTGCCTTGCTTCCTACTACAAAGCACCATGCCATGGGGGCAACCGGAGCAGGTGGTGGTGACTGGGAGAGAAAGAGAGGCGGCAGGGAGAAAGGGAGGCCCTGGGAAGGGACAAAACCTCTCGGGAGGAACATTTCAGCAGACACACTGCCAGGCAGAACAACTAGACAGAATCAGCAGAGTGTGCTGCTGAATGCCAGGCGGCTGGCCACCTTTGTGCGGCCCGGGGCCATCTGAGCGTCCGGGGAGGAGCGGAGGGAGTGGAGGAGGTTGGAGCCTGAGATTCCCACCTTGCACAGGAGCTGCTCAGCTACAGGATGTCCCTGCTGGACCGCCTCCCTCCCACAGAGTCGCCAGGATACTGACAGATATCACTCACTGAGCAGCAGAGAGGGGTATGGAAAGAGCCTGGGCTCCAGAGGCAGACAAGCCCAAATCCCTTCCCAACTCTGTCATTCAGGACCACTGAGTTACCTTGAACCAGTGTCTCACCCTCCCTGAGCCTCAGTTTCCTCATGATAAAGGCAAAACAGTGCCTACTTCGAAGACAGTGACAATGTGCATGAAGCCCTTAGCACAGCTCAAAGTGCCCTGCTAGCCCCTCGGTCCTCCTGTCTTTCTGGGGAAAAGCAGCACGCTCCCATTCTGGAGTCAGAGGGTATGGACCCTGCTAGCTGCCACTACTCTGTGGCTCTGTTCCCTCAGGCTGGCCACCTCCTCCAGAACAGGGACACACAGCAGGCCTCTGAGAGTACTTTACAGTTATCAGTGCCTTCACATCCACCACCTCCTTTGTTCCCCCAAGGACCCTTGTGAGACAGAAAGGGCAGAGTACCATCAATATTTTTACAAATGAGGAACTTGGCTTGAGTACCTTATTGGAGCTGGAACTAGATTCCAGGAGGGGAAGGGGAGACAAGAACCTGCGTCTTTCTCTCCTTTTGCCTGACCCACTCAGCTGTCCCTGCTCTACGGTGGGAAAGGGTTAAGAATCACAACAACCACAAGACCAGTGTGCTTTGTTTTTTTTCTGATTGCCAATGACAAATATGCATCATGGGTATACATTGGAATGTGGATTGTCACCTCCCTCAAATGTAAAGCTACTCCGGGATGAAGACTGGGCCATTTTTTCGGGCCATTTTTTCTAACGTTACAACGTGAAAGCCAGTATCAATGCCGTAAACGTCAGACCCAAAGAAGATGGATGTTTGATTCTGAACAGGAGTCCTAGGAATGCCTGCTCGGCCACTGATTAGTGAGTGTCCACTCAGTCACTCCTCTACTTCCCTAAGAAGCCACCACCCTGCTGAGTTGGGGTGGGGAAGGGCAGCCATAGCCCAGGCCCAAATGAAATTCCTTGGGCCCGCAGCCTCAAGCAACCTTTGTCTGGACATCAGCACCCTTGCTCCTACAAGTTGTTTGCTACCTTGATTGACTCAGAAAGCTCTCTGATTGGTTTCCAGTGAGCTGAGTCCAGACAAAAGCTTCTTGATTGGATGTTAACAAGCTATTCAGGCTAACACCCTGCCATATTCTTTAACTCTTTCTTAACTCAAAGGAGATCCAAGGATTAGAAAGGAAAAGCCATCTTGGGCCAAATCCTGTAGTTTGCAAATGCTTATTGTTAGCCGTAACTTTAGCTTCCATTCTTCAAATCCTCACCCCACCCCCAACCCTTCCCCCAAAAGTTTGTATTGTTGTTATCTGCATTCAAGTCAACCCCAACTCATGCACAACAGAATGAAACGCTGCATGGTCCTGAACCAGCCTCACGATCACTTTGGAATCAGAGCACTGATCCCCAGGGTTTTCTTTGGCTGATTTTTGGGAAGTACACTGCCAGGCCTTTCTTCCCAGTCCATCTCAGTGTGGATGTTCTACTGAAACCTGTTCAGCATCATAGACACATACAAGCCTCCCCTGACAGAGAGGTGGGGCTGCATATGAGGTGCATTGGCCGGGAATCAAACCCGGGTCTCCTATATGGAAGGTGAGAATTCTGCCACTGAACCACTAATGCCCCCAGAACTTGTTTCGAATACGTCAATAAATATGAGTTAGCTTGAACCACTTCATCTATCACTCACTCACTCACTCAGAGGATTACTGACTGAGGAGCTTGGCAGGAAGCCTGCCTCCTCTGGCCCCCTCTCCCCTCTCCCACAACTCCCCACGCTGGCAATGTACCTTTGCCTCTTCTGAGATGTTTGTCATGTGCTTGGTCTTGCACTTCCGTTTTCCTGATGGCTTTTCTGAATTTTCAAGGCAGGCTGGCTCCTCCAGGTTATTCGGGAGAAAACCATTTGGTGAATCCGAGATCCCCTGGGCTTTGTTGGGCAAGAGAAGGCTTCTGTTCCTGAGGTGGTGCTCCGAACTTTGGGAGGAAGTCTTCTGTTTACGGGCCTTTACATCTGAAGGCACAAGATAGGAGACATGGATGTCAGAGACATGGAGCACAGAGAAAGTAATGCCTTCTTCGAGGCTTCATCTAAGATGAATCAGAGGACTCTGGGGATTAGAATCTCAAGGCAAAATTGTGCATTTCTCAGCTATCAGTACCTAGCACAGGGCTGACTGCTACGCGAAATGCTTCTTGCACGGACACCGTTCGTCACCATCAAACTCCCTTCTCTGCAAGCAGAAGACAACTCCTGGCCCTGTCAGCAGGGGGCAGCCCATCTGGGTGTCCCCAAGACGAGGGTCGTTTGAAAAGGACCTCTCTATGGCTCAAATCAAATCAGGACTTTCTTGTCAGCTTTTCTTCTATCCACCCCCACCCCCTTTGTCTCTTTAGCCACTCTAATAGGAAGACAAATTTAGCAGCTCTGCTGAAGTATGAAATAGATACCAGGGGAGGAAGGAATGGCACACTGCTTCCTTCAGAGACTCAGGTCTTCCCACCTGACTGCCCTCTTTGTCACTCTCTGAGGACACAAATATCAAAGCCAACAGCAACTCTCCAAAACCACAAAGTGCCAGGGGTCTACTTATCTAGAAGTTGGTGGCAGAAACCTCTGGCCTTTCCCAGTTGAAAATCAAATTATTGGTGCCAATGAAGCACACTGGGCAGCATCTGTAACTAGCCACAGCTCACTGAACAAATGCATTCTAACTTCAAAAGGGCCTGCTGAGAATTCCATTATCAAGACCCCTATCCCATAGAGTCTACCCTACACCCCCCACATAGGAAGGATAGATGGTGTTTGTCCTTATCTCTCAGTACCAGTGTTACAGAGATTCCTGGCTTGGTCACTAACTGTGTGACTGACCAGAGGCAAGTCATAATCTCTCTGAGCCTCAGTTTCTGTATCTGTAAAATGTGGCGAATGTAATCCACATCAAAAGACCAGCATGAGAACTACATGTGATAATATATGCAAAACCACTTTATAACCAAAAAAACAAAAACAAAACTCACTCCCATTGAGTCGGACCCGACTCATAGCGACCCCTCCTTGGGGTGCCGAGGCAGTATCACTACGGAAGTAGATTGCCCAACCTTCCTTCCGAGGAGTGGCTGGTGGGTTTGAACCACCAGCCTTCTGGTTAGCAGTCAAGTGCCTTAGGCACCACACTACCAGAGCTCCCTTCCACTTTATAAACTAAGGCATTATTAGTGTATTTAAGTGGAGGCTCTTTTACAAGGATCATGCCCATGTCTTCTTTATCCCTCAGAGAACTGAACACCATGGCTAGCACATGGCAAAAGATCATTATGTCTGCTAGTAGCCATTACTGAACATCTTCATCAATGACTCCATAGAAGAATCCTGATCAAAAGGGTGAAAATGTAGAAGAGAAATTCAAATTTTCATGGACTCTAGATTTCTGAAGCCATGGAGAAACTACTGCCCTGAAGTAATCTCTAAACCTTAAACCAAAATATCCCCGGAAGTCTTCTTTAAACCAGACAACAGTTCGGCTTAACTAGGAAACATTGTCTGCCTTGAGCATTACACGAGATCAAATTGACAACAGCAACTCCAAGGATTAGACAGGAACCTTAGGGGGCAGTAAGTCTATGTTAATGAGGGAGGAACAAGAACAACTCAGAAAAGGAGGGTGAGAATGGTTACACAACTTGAAGAATATAATCAATGTCACTAATCTGTACATGTAGAAACTGCTGAATTGGTACATGTTTTGCTATGTATATTCTCAACAACAACAAAATAAATATTTTTTTTAAAAAAAGATCATTGTGTATACAAAGTAAATTACTGCAGCCTCAGTTTCTCTACATTGTAAAATGAGGGAGGGGAACTAGATCCAAGAATCCGCAACTCACCTTCCTCAGCCTTGACATGTGCTCTCATGTGTGACATTTCCAAGGGCAAATTCAGAAGTAGAAGTTGTCATTGAAGTATAAGGTATTGGATGCAGGTTATGAAAAAGCCAGCTGTAATACCACCCCCTTTTCCCCAGCTAAACCAGATCCATTAGTGGGTCCCCACAACTTGTTCAAGAACTACTGTGCTAGATCACCTCTTACGGTGCTTCCCGCCAGAACATTCTAAACTAGGGCATTTGATGTAAGAAATTTGTGCTGAGACAAAAGAGGAAGGAACAGAACTGTGCCTTGTGAGGACCTCAGGAAACACGAGGAAGCCATATTACAGCTTTCAATGCCACAGGAAAAGAACCACTCCTCCTACTCTCTTTACCCAGAGCAGCCCAGGCTCTGGAGCTCATCCAATTGCAGAGGAGCAAGGGCTTATAGTAGTATGGAAAGGAACAAAGAGTTGGAGTAGGAGGTGAGTGAGTGGAAGTGGCTCTTCCTATCACCTCTGCAGGTCAAGGGAGCTACCCAAGTCCAGGACAAAAGAAAAGGTCATGAGGATCAGAGAAGAGTAAGGTGACCTGCCTGGCTTGGCCTTTGCTTGAGTCTCTGATATCAACCTGAAAGACAGGTTGTCGTAGGAGGGATTAGAGCTTTCTGAGAAGAGGGATGTTTGTCAGGCAATTCATTCATGAAAATGCCATCTTCAGATCTGAAGGAAGACAACCAGACCATATGTCAAAGCCAGCTGCCTCAACGCAAACACTTAGACACACACAGAGGGAAGATGACCCACTTTCCAACAACTGGAGCTTCCCCCAAATCAAACAGTATGCCTTGGTGAGTGATGTTATCCATGTTATTGGAGGTGTTCATACAAAGGCTAGTTTTCTACCTGTCAAGAATGCTGTAGAGATCTCTAAACTGGATAGAAAACTGGACCAGGCAACCTCTAAAGTCTTTCGGGTTCCAAGAACTTGTAAGTTCTGTAGGAAGCTTCTAAGCTAGGAAAGCAGCCACCATTAGAGAAGATCAGGTGATACATAAGCCCCTCTTCACCCCAACATCAGTGGCTGAGGCCAATGCCTTAACAACTCATTCCTGACTAATCAACTGTAGCTCTGGCAAAAGAAAGGGAAAATTGGCCCTACTCTCTCACACAGCTGATGAAAATGGGCTCAATTACTCTCTTGAGTGTAGGGATAGGTATCACCACTTCAACAGAGCTGGAAATGAGGTTAAGCCTTCTTTGCATTATAGTAAACCAGAATCTACTACCCACTCAATATACAGTTATTCAATTTTAGCTTTCATAAGGAGACTGTAGATGTTTACCAGCAGCTCATGATGAATCCCATTATAGGAGACTATTGACTGGTGCTTCAAAGGCACAGGTCACAGGGAGAGAATGAGAGAGAGGTTCGTATGGAACCCAGAGATGTGATTTTTGCTCACTCAGAAATCCACTACAGGACTGGGCCTGAAAAGTGCTAAGTGGAACATACTGATAGTCGCTCTTGTAACAGTGTACCTCCATGATTACATATTCTAATATCTGACATGGCCAATGAAAGCCTGGTTTTTTCTTCGGGCTGACGGCTTTTCCAACTCAGGCCCAACAAAAATGACACCACCTTGGGTCACCTTGGGAGCCTAAGGCATCTGACTGCTAACCAGAAGGCTGGTGGTTCAAACCCACCAGCCACTCCTCAGGAGGAAGACTGGGCAATCTATTTCCATAGTGATACCGCCTCAGAAACCCAAGGAGGGGTCACCATGGGACGGATCCAACTTGATGGCAGTGAGTTTTGTTTTTCTGGGGGTCACCTTAAAGCTCCACTCCACCTTTTAATAACCTTTGTGGTATCAATTGAGAAAGCAAAGTTGTCCCTGCTTCTGCTTGAAGTTATTCTGTTGGCTTGAGGGAATCGCTGTACTTCTCATTTTAGGGGCTGGAGGCATCCCAGGAAAAGCAGCCAATGCTCTCTTTCTTCTTGAATCCAAGATTCTAGGAGAGAGAACCTGGCCTCCAAAAAGATCTGACTCCCTCAAGTCAACCACAGAATTCCTTGGTATGGAGTTGCTCCATGCCAAGGTTGTCACTGTGCCCTTGCCCACACATTCAGACTTTTACAAGAAATTGGAGGGCTTGGGCCTTCATGTTTGCAGTACACCTGTAGACCGGTCCTAACTTACTCAATCCCTACCCAAAGGCAATACCTTGGGGCTGGATTTGAGTGACACCCTCTGGTAGCTGGAGATCATAGCACCAAGTCTCTACCAGTCTAGAAGTCTTCTGCTGGTGTAAGGCAGGCAGAGGTATGCTCCTGCAAACACCTGAGATGGCTGAGGGTTCCTAGGAGCTGCACTGGTTGTGGTTTGGGGAAGGGGTGCAGCAGCTCACTGGGGCATCAGCCCCCCGGCCAGCCTTACCTGCTCTCCCTTTCCGCCGTTGCTCTTCTTCTTGCTCAGTCAGGTACTCCCCAGTCTGGTACTTCCGGCTCTTCTGCCGTCTCCGTTTCTTCCTCTTCACCAGGCCTTCCTCCTCGTCTTCCTCCTCCTCCTCATTCGTATCCCACATTTGCCGCGCAGCCTCTGTCCTCCAGGGCATTTCTCGGGCTCGCCACAGGTGCCTGCGGCCCTGGCTCAGCAGGGTCTTGTCCTGGGCATGGTGGCTGCGATACTGGGTGTCCCGCTGGGTCTTCCTCACCTTTCGACGCTTAGCTGGGGTGGGGGTCACCTCCTCTTCCTCCTCTGTAGGGAAGACTTCCTGGCTTCCCATGTCACTGTCTGCCATACCAGCAAAGGAGCTACAGATGCTTCCTGTGGATGTACAGAGGACGGTCAGATACATCTTCAAAGGAAAAACAGTATCATTTAGAAGCAGTACCCAGGACTAGGAGTTGGGAGGTCTGGGTTCAAGTTTGAGCTCCACTAGTTAGCATGCTTTTGGAACACTCCTTCACTTCTATTATCTCAGCTGTAAAACAGGGATACTGCTCCCTGCCTTACTGACCTAAACAGGGCTATTTTGAGGAACAAATGAGATAATTCTCCCCTAAGTGCTTTACAAAGTTGGATATGTTATAAAACTATAAAGTATCAAAGTATTAAACATACACAGCGTCCTCATACACGTTTCCAGTGTCCCTGTAATTGCATTCCACAGACTCTCACTTCATGCTCATAAGGCACCAAGCATTGTGAGAAGTGCAGGAGTGGGCAAAAGATCCCTGCTTTTTTGGGAGATCGGGGTTTAGCGCAGGGTGAGGGAGGGCAGATTGGCATCGTGTACCACCAGTGTTACTGGCAGACCTACCCGAGACAAGTAGAATCACCACCAAAGAAAAGTCTCAGGCAAAGTGAAATAATAAGGAATCCATAGTGCCTAAGGCACTTGACTGCTAACCAGAAGGCTGGTGGTTCAAATCCACCAGCCACTCCTCGGAAGGAAGATCGGGCAATGTACTTCCATAGTGATACTGTCTCAGAAACCCAAGGAGGGGTCACTATGAGTCGGATCCGACCCGACGGCAGTGAGTTTTTGTTTGTTTGTTTGTTTGTTTCCTATGACACAGCCTTGCTCAGTCCTGTCCAAATGAGACTTGGCCAGGCCCTTTTCCCTCAAATTGACCCCACCTCCTATGGAATTGTCAAGAATTCAGGGGTAGAGCTATTTCTCTGGCACCACCACCCCACCCCAGTTGCAACTATTCCTCTCCATGGGGCAGACATGTCACCCTCCAATGCTGACCACCCCAGTACCAATGGCACCTCTTTTGGCCTCCTAGGCCACCTTATCAAGAAGCCACTTTCTCTCCCTACTCTTTCCTTCAAGCTATGCTAACGACAAAAGTACAATCCAAAACTGGCCTGGCTCAACATCCCAGGAGATCTGACACCTTCCTTGGAAACAGCACTGAGACACTACCACCTTTCTCCTAAGGTCCAGCTATTAACTTGACCCCAAACCCACGTGAGGTCAACCAGAGAATGAAAGAAACGGTTGGAGGCAAGCAGAGCAGCCCGTGACCAAAGTTTCAAGTCAGTCTGACAGCTTATAGATAGGAAACATCCTGCCAACATTCCTTTATACACACCAGGCAGGGAACAAAGTGTCCTGGTTAATCTAATATTCTGGATAATATGGAATCACCATCGAGATCACACAGAGATCACCAGTTTCCAAAGAATCAAATACAGTCCAATGTGTTTAACACGAAAATGGGACTGGTTGCAATGTAACAGCTCTTTGATGATTCAGAAGACACTTCAGGATTTTGTGAGCCCTCTAGGCCATCATCACGAGCTCCAATTACCATCTCACTCTCCATGTGCTGAGAGGTGCCAGTTAATAGAATTTCAGATAACTGAGTTTATACTGCTTCTTCATTCCATCCAATTTGCATGGAAATCTGGGTGAACCAGGGCAACCATCTCTAGCCCTATGTATTAATGTGGAGGTTAGTGGAAAATAGGGGTAACTGGAAAGGGCTAGCTTCTTTAAGATACCAGGGGTCGACCAATACAAATTCAAGGGACCAAATGTGATTCTGCCAGCCCTGATGGCTCAAGGACCATTTCCAATTTTGATGACGCCTGTCACATAGGGCAGTCAGATCAAGACCCAAAGGTTAAATGTTCAGGCCTAAGATTAGCCCCAATAATTATCAGATGTCAATGTTTGCAGCAGAGCCAGCTTTCCTGAGTGGGACAGCACTTTCCTCCTTCCACCATTGACTCCCAATAAGAAAAGTCAAATCCCTGTTCTGGAAAGCTAAGCCCCAAAACCTGTTGCTGTAGAGTCGATCCTGAGTCATGGCAACCCCATGAGTGTCAGAGCAGAACTGAGCTCTACAGGGTTTCCTGCCTGTACTCTCCATGGAAGTAGATCTCCAAGCCTTTCTTCTGATGTGCCTCCAAATGGGTTCAAATTCCCAACCTTTTGGTTAGTAGCCAAGTACAAACCATTTATGCCATACAGAGCCCAGAAAGCTAAACAAACAGTCCTAAAACCATGGATAACACCCACCCACCACCCAGCCCAGCTCTCTTGCCTCTGCGGGAAATTGGGCATCCTGGCACAGTGAATCAATGTCCCAACTTTCCACCTGGGCCAATGCAAAATCGCTTAACAAGCCTTCTCTTATCAGAGAAGTCACCAAGATGGGCCATCGCCTCCGACGACTCACTCACCAGACTGACTGCGTGTCCGAGTGCTCAGCACCACAGGGACGAAGTCCCGGAAACTGCTTTTTGCTTTCTTTTCCAAGGAACCTGGGGGCAATTTGGGGGGTTTCAGGACAGAAGGTAGAAATCACATAACCAGAGTCTGGAAAGATTTTTCAGAAGGAAACCCCAAGGAGGCCTTGTGTTCACCCTGGGTGACAGTGACCAGCTCCCCTTGTGCTGCTATCATAGCCATACCTCTGAGACAATGAGCATTTCCTGGTGGCTTTGGAAAACCGGGCCTTTGGTTATTTCTGCTGACACCAAAAAAGGCATCGATTCGACAACATGCCAGAAAGCAGAAGGGCCGGCTGAGTGTGACTTAGAGGCGGCTGTACCTCAACAAAGTTCCAACTGAGCTGGAGCGGGTCCCGGAGAAGGACAACCTCAGTGAATCTCAGAGGATGGAGCAGGGCAGGAAGGTGGGAGTAGGGAGGGGAGAACGGGGAGAAATGCTATATAAGAGCAGAATGAAAGCAGCAGGGCCTGTCCAACGGGCAAGACCATGAACATGGGCTACTGGGGTCAAGAACACTTGGACTTCTCTCTCTGATGAGGGCGCCAAGAAATAATTTGTGGCAAAGCACGCAGATTAAGTACACCCTCCAAACGAAACATCCTGTGTGTCCCTCAATAATAATGGGAGCTTTGGACATGTCTACACCATTCTAGCTATTTATTTTTAACTTTTAGTAATGGAAACTTTAATATATACAAGGTCGAAAAACTGTGTAATGAACTCCTGTTCTGCTGTTTTTGTCTAAATCCTCCTGAAAGCCATTTCTTCTTTGAGTCAAGACGCATTGCAGGGTAACAGGCTTGCTATGCTTCTGTCTTGCTAAAAACCACCTCCCCTTCAGAGTGTCTTATTCTAGTGTCTGGGGTGTGCAGAATAAGCCCCAACTTCCTCCTCCCAGGCCTTTGACTTCAGAGATGTCAGCTAAAGCTTTTCTTCCATAGTGACGAAGGCTCCCTTTTCTAGTCGTCTCAGAGCCACCCCCACCCCCAGCTCCCAGCCCCGCCATGGGGCTCCTGCGGCAGCCCACCGGGCCAGGCCCTGGGGCCTACCTTCCTCGTGGCCATCGGCTCGTTTGCCTGGAGACTGGGACTCCGGCTTTGTCGGCTTCTGGTGCTTGTGCTTTACCCTGACTCCGTTGTGCTCTTTTCCTGAATCTGAAGCCCCCCGGGGACTTTTTTTGGTAGGTTCCTGGGGGTCACCGGGCGGCTTTCGGCACTGTGGAGAGGCAGAGAGAGACAAGTCTGAGGTCAGTTTCACTGATGGAGAAAGTTCTAATTTTTCATTTGAGCCATGTGCCTGTTGCTGACACACGGACCAGAGCTGCCCAGGGTGGGGGTGAGGGGAAAGGGACCATCTGCTGCCTTCCACAGAGACGGTTTTGGATGGAATCCAATGTCCTGGTAAATCCCCAAAGGCATCCACACCCCATTATTTTAAACAGGTTCCAAAGTCTGTGTTCACAAGCCAGATAAACTCTCAAAGGCATTTGAAAAGGTGCAAACTCAGGACTCCATCCTCTATCAAACACCAACGGCAAAATAGGCATAAAACAAAAATGCCTGCTCCTTAAGTTGGGTGATTAACCTGTTCAAATACAGGTTCCCCTGCTATCCAAAAGTACAGCAGTCCTATGAAACTTTTTGAAAAGCGAGATGGAGTAAAGCCAAGAAGCAATTACCATTAATTTACATGGGAAAAAATTTTGAGTGTTCCCAGACCCAAAATACAGCCCACCAAATCACACTAAGTGCTGCACAAAATCTAAACGAATCCTTATACACAGTGTTCACAGACACAGTTCAAAGCCATGGCAGCCTGACGCTAAGACACTGAGGGTAGTTCCCGGAGGAGGAGCTTGACAAGGACACACTGCCTCTTTAACTCTTGGTGCAAAACAAGCACTTAATGCTAGTTTCACTTTTCACTTTTTTTTTTTTTTTTTTTGTAAAAGCAAAAATCCTCTTCCTACTTCCTTCAGTTAGCGAAAACAGGTACTAATGTAGGTCTTTCGTAAAAGTGAAGTGGCATAAAGCGAATTTTCGAAAAACGAGGGGATGGACACCTGTATCTTAATTGTGAATGGGACCGATACCAACAACTTAAAATAATTCTCAGTACAAGCCAATCAGAAAACTAGTCTGTTTTCAGGCATAAATTAATACCAGAAAGTAGTTTCAATTAAGGCAAGAAGAAAAACACAAAGCAGAAGCAAGTGAAGTCTCCCCACACTTCTGAAAGACAATGTCAAGGCCCAAGCAGTATTAATAACGTCACTTCCACCCAGCAGCACTTTCAACATCTTTAAATGCTTTCATCTCCACGATCTGATTGTACCTTCCCAATAAGGCTGAGAGGGGAAGCTAATATCGTCCTCATTCAACAGATAAGGAAACTAAGGCTCCATCCAGGACAAGAGGGTAAATGACACATAATTGACTTGTTCAGGGACTGCCACTTCTCAGGCAACCCTGGACTTTCACTCATTTGTACTTGCAGTGAAAAGGTGGCAGAGGCAGGATTAACACCCAGGCTCCTGGCTTCCAGCCTCTTCACATCAGCTCTCATTACTTCTACCCAACTCATACCTACGTCCTGGTGCATCCAATAGGAACAGTTGTGCTCACACATGGCCAAGGGCACTCTCAGCCTAACAGTCACCATATACTCTCATAAACTTTGAGGTTTCTCTACGCCGCTAAGCAAGAAATAGGGCAATGTCAAGACCTTCCGTATTCTAGTAGCTAGGGTGTGCAGAATAAGCAAACGGTTTAACAATGAAAGCACGTCCCAGCAGGAAAGGAAGAGTTAAACCTGCTTGAGTTGTTTTTCCTCTGAGTAGACCCACACCCTAACTTCTAGAAGGTCATCACTATCTAGCTAAGGGGGTGGCAGAGACCTTATTGATGGAACATTTTCTCGGAGACGGGTCTCAATTCTTTGGGGCAGGGAGTCACCATTACCAGAGACTCTTCCATCCTATGAATTCCTCCTGCTTTTTATTCAGCAGAGGGCTGAGCTGAAAATTCAATTCGAGCTTTGCTTGCTGCTAGTTCCTACAAACAAAAGTGTTCAGGGAAAGAAAGAACTGGGGAGGGAAGAGAAAGATAGGGAACTGCTGCTGGAAATCTGACCTTCAGGTCTGGCCGGAGAGAAACTATTTTAAGTCAGGAGGAATAAAGTTAAATGCACATAAATTTGAACATGTCCTATTTATTTCTGAATATCACTTTGAGCTGGCTCTTTCAAGTACAGATTGTTAAATTTTACTTCCTAAGAGAGACGAAAACAGAACATCTAGAAGGGATTTCTATCTGTATCTTTTGCAGGGGTAGCCCTGAAAGTAAAAATATATTGTGCACTCAAATTAGGCAAAAAGTTGGGAGGATGGGCACATGTAACATGAAAGTTCTGGTTAACAGTTATAAAATATCTTCCAAAGAATTTTCTAAAAGATGAGAAGATAATGAAATACACCCAGCACCAAACAGAGCACAAATATATCTTTGGTGATGATTCAGGAGGCTCTTTAGGATTCAGTAAGGCCTTGGAACATGTGGCAGAGATGGCATGAGACTGTCCTGTAGCTTGGCCATGCCCTGAAGGGGGCTTTTTTTTTCCCCCCAATTTTTATTGTGATTTGGATGAAGTTTACAGAGTAATTTCATTTTCCATACAGAACTTCATACACATTTTGTTTCAATGACATTGACTGCAATTCCCCACAATGTAACAGCTCTCTTCCCACTTCCTCCCTGCAGTTACCTCTTCCCTCTGTCCTTCCCTCCCATGCACTCCCCCCCAGCTCTCTCCCTGTGCAAACACTGCCCTTCTATTCTCCCATGATTGATCGCTCCAAGGAGTATATTCACCTGATGTAAGTGTTCATCCCATATGCCTGTCTATTATTTGGCTGGAAGCCACAGGGGTGAATTCTTTTCCAGACCTGAAGGGTAACTAGGGGCCATAGTCTCAGGGGTCTCACCAGGCTCTATCAGACAAGTAAACCAGGTCTTTTTTCTCTTTTTATCATTTTGAGTTTTGTTCCACATTGCTTTTCCCCTCCATGCAGGACCTCCTGCACCAATCCTCCTCTGAGTGGTTCACAGTGGTAACCAGGCACCATCTAGTTCTTCTGGTCTCATGGTCATAGGCTGAGGATTGCATGGTCCACCAGTCCCTTGGACTAACTGTTGCCATGTGTCTTTTGTTTTCTTCATTAGAAGGGGGCTGTTTTGAATTAATCCTTAGTTTTAGAATCTCTGGGTGGTGCACACACATAACATTCTCTGCTGCTAAGCAGAAGGTTGGAGGTTCGAGTCCTGGGAAGGAAAGCCTGGCAACCTACTTCCCAAAAACCAGCCACTGCAAACCCTATGGAGCATAATTCTACTCTGACACCAGGAGTTCGTCATAAGTCAGGCTCAACTTGATGGCAACTGGCCTGTTTTTTCTATCTTCTTAGTTCACTTATCAATGATTTCTTTCTCAAGAAAACAGGGACATGATAAAATAAAGATCTTAGTTGTTCATGCTCCTGAAAAATGGACATTACAGCCAGGTACCGAGAGCAGCTTCAAGGTCCTGTAAACTTTAGTCCTTGCCCTCTGCACCTGTTCATCTGCCCAGTGAACTGTTCACCTAGTTCAAGAAGGGCCAGGCCCGATTCCTTCAAAAGTTGGAAATGCAAATACCATTTGACCCAGCCATCCCATTACTAGGTATAT